TTTTGAGAATGATGTACAAATGCGCTTTACACAATTGATGTGTGTATGGATTGCGATAACAGTTGTATCAGCCCCTAATAAAATGTTTAAAAATATAAAAAGAAAGAAAGAAAAAAAAAATCAAGTTAAAGAAAACACGAAATGAAGGGGATTCTCTCTCTGATTGAGCTATATACTTGAGATTTATTGCAATTAAAACTTCCTATTTGGAGGGGGAAAGGTGCGCTAGATGTATATACAACTCTTTATAAAAACTAATCAACTATGGAACTGTACAATATGTGAATTGTATATCAATAAAACTATATATATAAAAGGAACCCAAATTAATCAATAAAAGTTTCTACTTGGACGAAATAGTGACCCTGGTTGAACCCCATCATCAAGAGCTAGTGTCATGACGACGATGTGTGAGGAAGGCTGACAAGGCGGGCACTGAGCCACATGTGTTCGCACTGCACTGAGACAAGTCTGTTAGACCCCAGGGGTCGGGATGCGGGCAAACAGAAGGGGAGTCATGTGAAGACCAGGGCACCGTGAAGAATGAACGCAGAAACTGCAGTGGATTGCTGAGGGGAACCCAAACAAAGGGGTACACTTTGAGGGGTACACTTCTGGCAAGAGCTGTTGCTGATGGCTACCAGCACTGGGAAATCTGCCTAACGACACGCTGAACCACACACTTTGAAACGGTTGAAAACGGCAGATTCGACGGTCTACACATTTTACCACAATATAAGAGAGAAGAGGGAGGTGATCTTAAGATCATAATCTGAAGCAAACGCGCTGTCATGGAGTCAATTCTGACTCACAGGGACCCTGCACAGCATTTCTGAGGCTGTCAATCTAGTCAGGCGCAGAAGGCCTCATCTTTCTTCCGAAGAGCAGCTGGTAGGTTTGAACTGATGACCTCGACATCCCCACTCACCTGACAGTGCCACCAGGGCTCTGGGAAATTCCTGGCCTCCCTTTCACCCAGGGGCTCCCCGGGCACTAACAGGTGAAGAAGCCCCACCCCTGCCACCACCCACCCCCTGGGCCAACTGCGACCCTGCAGAACTTGTAATGAGCTGTCACTAAGTGCCATCTAGTTCGTTCTGGCGCTGGTAGCCCCACGTGAGCTCTGAGTAGAACTGCTCTAGAGGGTTTCTGCGCTGTGACCATTAAAGGGAAGCAGATGGGCAGGCCTTTCTTCCAAGCCGCCTTGGGATATGTTTGAAGCACCAACCTTTTGGCTAGTGGTAAAGTGCTAAACTGTCACGCCACCCAAGGACCCCACAGATGTCCAGAATAAAACCAGTTAAAAACCATTTGCTCTGGAGTCAACGCCAACGCATGGTGATCCCAGTGCGTTGAGTAGAACCTTGCTCTAAAGGCTGGTTCCAAACTGCAGGCAAAAATCTCACCTCTCTTTGGACGACAGTCACTGGTTCTAGTCGTCACACTCTGACGTGGCAGCTGAGAACCCCGGGGGCTGGGGGGTCCCCGGGAGGGGTGAGAGAAGGTGGGGTTGGCGAGGGCAGGGGCCCCTCGGAGTCACCTTGCTGTCCTTCCCCTCCTTCATTCTCAGGCTCCCCTCCAGCAGTAGCTGCCGTGTCTCCTCTGGGGGGGCACCGGGCATAGGCACTGTCAAATCCAGCTGCAGGAACTCCTTCAGGAGCTGGGGGGAGGGAGGGCGGGTTCTGACGTGCCATCTCAGCCAGGAGAATTCAAAGTGAGGGCTATGGCATC